CTAGTAAGATCGAATCAAGAAGAAACAAAAAGGTTCAACAAACCATTAACAAAGTTGAAGCAGCAACCATTTACTGATTAGGAGATCCTTTCCCCATTGCTTGTTTTTGCCAGGGTTGTCAAAGATCAGATGGTTGTACATGTGTGGTGTTATTTCTGAGGCCTCTCTTCTCCATGATTCGGTGGGTCTATTCTGGCAAGAGTACCGTGCTGTTTTGGTTACTGTAGCCTTGCAGTACAGTGTGAAGTCAGGTAGCATGATGCCTCCAGCTTTGTTCTTTTTGCTTAAGATTATCTTGACTATACAGGATCTTCTTTGATTCTATATGAAATTTAAAATAGTTTTTTTTTTTCTAATTCTGTGAAAAATATCTATAGTAGTTTGATGGGAATAGCATTGAATCCAAAAATTACTTTGAGCAGTATGGCATTTTTATGATATTGATTTCTCCTATCCATGAGGATGGAATGTTTCTTTGTTGGTGTCTTCTCTTATTTCCTTGAGCAGCCATTTGTAGTTGTCCTTGAAAAGGTCCTTCACATCCCTAGTGAGCTGTATTCCTAAGTATTCTCTTTGTAGCAATTATGAATGGGTGTTCATTCAAGATTTGGCTCTTTGCTTGCCTATCATTGGTATAAAGAAGGCTTGTGATTTTTGCACATTGATTTTGTATCCTGAGACTTTGCAGAAGTTGTTTATCAGACCAAGAAGTTTTGGGGCTGAGACAATGGGGTTTTCTAAATATAAAATCATGTCATCTGCAAACAGAGACAACTTGACTTATTCTCTTCCTATTTAAATACCCTTTGTTTCTTTCTCTTCCCTGATTGCCCTGGACAGAACTTCCAATACTATGTTGAATAGGAGTGGTAAGAGAGGGCATCCTTGTCTTGTACCAGTTTTCAAAGGAAATCCTTCCAGCTATTGCCCATTCAATATGATTTTGGCTGTGGGTTTGTCATAAACAGCTTTTATTATTTTGAGATATGTTCCATGCAAAGACACACAAAGGCTCTAAACCAAGGGATGGAGGAACATTTACAAAGAAAATAGAAAGCCAAAAAAAAAAAAAAAAAAAAAGAGTAGGGGTTGCAATTCCTAGTCTCTGACAAAGCAGACTTTAAACACAGATCAAAAAGACAAAGAAGGGCATTACATAATGCTAAAGGAAAAATTCAACAAGAATAGCCAAGTATTCTGAATATATATGCACCCAAAACAAGCAGCTAGTTTCATAAAACAAATTCTTGAGCCTAAGACCTACACAGACACTTAGGCTCCTGTACAATAACAGTGGGAGACTTCAACACCCCACTGTGAAGATTAGACAGATCAAGGAGACAGAAAATTAACAAGGATATTCAGGACTAAACTCAGCTCTGGATCACATGGACCTAGTAGACGTCAACAGAACTCTCTACCCCAAATCAGCAGAATATACATTCTTCTCAGTGTCACATGACACTTATTCTAAGATCAACCACATAATTGAATTAAACCACTCCTCAGCAAATGCAAAAGAAATGAAATCATAACAGTCTCTCAGACCACAGTGCCATCAAATTAGAACTTAGGATTAGAAACTGACTCAAAACCACACAATTTCATGGAAATTGAATGACTTGTTCCAGAATGACTCCTGGGTAAATGATGAAATTAAGGCAGAAATAAAGAAGTTCTTTTCAACCAACAAAAACAAAGAGACAACATACCAGAATCTCTGGGATACAGCTAAAGTAGTGTTAAGAGGGAAATTTATAACACTAAATGCCCACATAAGAAAGTTAGAAAGATCTCAAATCGACAACCTGACATCACAACTAAAAGAACTAGAGACACAAGAGCAAACTAATCGAAAGGCTAGCAGGAGATGAGAAATAACTAAGATCAGACAAGAATTGAAGGAGATAGGGTGCCTGTTTTCTCGCTGGGTGGCGGACGAAACTTCACAAGATGTCTAAGCAACAACCAGCTCAGTTTATAAATCCAGAAACTCCTGGCTATGTTGGATTTGCAAATCTCCCCAATCAAGTTCACCGAAAATCAGTGAAAAAAGGTTTTGAGTTCACACTGATGGTGGTTGGTGAATCAGGTCTAGGAAAATCAACTCTCATAAACAGCCTGTTCCTAACTGATCTCTACCCAGAAACAGTTATACCAGGCGCTGCAGAGAAAATTGAAAGAACTGTCCAAATTGAGGCTTCAACTGTTGAAATTGAAGAGCGAGGGGTCAAGCTACGCCTGACAGTGGTGGATACCCCTGGCTATGGTGATGCCATCAACTGCAGAGATTGTTTTAAGACGATAATCTCCTATATCGATGAGCAGTTTGAGCGGTACCTGCATGACGAGAGCGGTTTGAACAGGCGGCACATTGTTGATAATCGAGTGCACTGTTGCTTTTACTTCATTTCACCGTTTGGACATGGACTTAAGCCCTTAGATGTGGCGTTTATGAAGGCAATACACAACAAGGTGAATATTGTGCCTGTCATTGCAAAAGCTGACACCCTCACCCTGAAGGAACGGGAGCGGCTGAAGAAAAGGATTCTGGATGAAATTGAAGAACATAACATCAAAATCTATCACTTACCTGATGCAGAATCAGATGAAGATGAAGATTTTAAAGAGCAGACTAGACTTCTCAAGGCCAGCATCCCATTCTCTGTGGTTGGATCCAATCAGTTGATTGAAGCCAAAGGAAAGAAGGTCAGAGGCCGCCTCTACCCCTGGGGTGTTGTGGAGGTGGAGAACCCAGAACACAACGACTTTCTGAAGCTGAGAACCATGCTCATCACCCACATGCAGGATCTCCAGGAGGTGACCCAGGACCTTCATTATGAAAACTTCCATTCTGAGAGACTCAAGAGAGGCGGCAGGAAAGTGGAGATCGAGGACATGAATAAAGATCAGATCTTGCTGGAAAAGGAAGCTGAGCTCCGCCGCATGCAGGAGATGATCGCTAGGATGCAGGTGCAGATGCAGCTACAGATGCAGGGCGGGGACGGCGACGGCGGGGCTCTCGGGCACCACGTGTGAGAAAACACTTTCCTGGATAAAAAAGAAAACATTCCAGATGCGTGATCCAGCCGTGTGTTTTCATAATCCTTGGGAGAGTGCCATCCACATTTTAACTTACCTGTGCCTGAGAATTTAATTTTTTAAAAAGTTTCGATTTTTTTTTATGAGGTACTTTTAACATATGTATTTCATTGCTGTTACACTCTGTATTTTGTGAGGTGAACTTTTCCTTTTCTTCTTCCTAACCACTAACGTTAGAATTGACTTCCAAGAATCAGCGTGTATAGTTAATACTGAATTTCTTTAATTTAACTGACTTAACAACTGACTAACTATTCGAGCACTCCTGATTTGTATCTAGAACATTCAGATTGACCCATTATGTTCCTGGGTGGTAGAGGCATGTGCCTAGTGCTGTAGAAAGATCCGCTGGCCTGGGGCAGGGTCATTGCTTACCACACCACACTGCTTCCTTGCTTTTATGTTTGTACACAACATCTAAAACCAGTTTTGCTGCTATCATTCAGTACTGTTCATTTGTCTGTGAGTTTATTATCTGTTAACCAAATAAAACAATAGAATTACCTAATGAGATATATCTTTACACTTAAATAGCTTTTTTTGAGGTGACTTTTAAAGAAGTCTCTTGATTCTGATGCTAGGTCGTTTTAAAACCACTATGCAGAGAACTCACTGTAAGCCACGTGATCTCCACTAATACTGGTTATCCCGTGCTACAGAGAAAATCAAAGTAGTCACAACTAAGATTCTTACCTACAAAATGAGATTCAGTAAACTCTTAACCAAAATTTAAAAAAAAATTTTAAGGAAAATTAGCAGTTTACCTATTCAGAATCCAACCTTTCTGTATTTTATACTGCACTTTAGTGTATTTTCTGTAACTGTAGATATAGAAGATCTGCCTCCCCTGTGGAAATTGGGGTCTGTCGGTGGGCGTGCCCCTGGAGCCCAGCTTGCCATTGAACAGTGTTCCCACCCTAAGGCCTTGGCACGCTGAACGCCTGATCTCTGATGCCTACCAGGTTTTCCTGATTTGGGTTTCCTTTAAATATTCCTTTTTTGCATGATTTTCTGATGGGAGGAAAATAGCAGTAATCATTTTTGTGTGTGCAGACTGTCTCATTTTTTTTTTAGCCGTTGTCATTTTATTCATTTTGTGTAATAACCATGTGTCGTGTCAAAGTGGAAGACATTTCAAGTCTGTAGTATAGCTAGTAGGCAGGTGTGCACATTCGAAGCCACACCTGGTCTGTTTTCTGTGCACTGTGGCCTTAGCCTCACCTTTCCTCCCGTGTCTCCCGGTGGCATGCTCCAGGGCTTGCCTTTTTTTTTTTTTTTTAATCAATTACACTGAAGTTGGGAGATTCAGCTGCAGAAAGTGACAGATGAAAGGAGACAATGGTTGTGTAGGAAGATGGAGAAAATGCTCACTCTGAGGATGAGACAGGGTTTTTTGTTTTTTTGTGGGGGAAAACATAAAATGAGGCAGTTACACATTCATTATGAAGGTGTGCTACAGAAAATAATCTGGTGCTCTTGCTAACTTTGCTCCTTCACTGTTGCTTGCAAATAGCCAAAAGCCGTATGTTATAGCTTATTGTGTGAAGGTAACTAAGAAAAAGTGTTCCATGACTTTATAGAGTACATCTATGCAGAGTCCATTATTTGAGTTTTTGACATTTAATAACTTTGCTAGAAAAATCTGTAAAAAAAAAAAAAAAAAAAAAAAAAAAAAAAACATTTGCAAGTGATTAAGCCCCATGTATGTTTGTGCGAAAGTCCTACTTCAGGCACTCTGGTAGTAGCTGTGCACAAGGGGGGCCCAGGGCTGCACCTCTGACCACCTTTTGTGGTACTACCCAAACCTTAAGATATACTTTTGATAATAGATAACTGCTCTTTTACTAAGAGATCGTCTCTACCTATAGAAATGTATTTTCAAAACACTTATTTTACACAGCAATTTTGTATCCATTTAAACTAATCTTTTATCAATAAAGCACTATTGTTTAGATGTTAAAAAAAAAAAGAAGGAGATAGAGACATAAAAATGCTCCAAAAAAATTAATGAATCCAGGAGCTAGTTATTTGAAAAAATTAACAAAATAGATAAACCCTAGCTACACTAATAAAGAAGAAAAGAGAGAAGAATCAAACAGACACAGTAAAAAGTTATTAAAGGAGATATCACCACTGACCCCACAGAAATACAAACTCAGAGAATACTATATTACCTCTATGCCAATAAACTAGAAAGTCTAGAATAAATGGATAAATTCCTGGACACATACACCCTCCCAAGAATAAACCAGGAAAAAGTCAAATTGCTGAATAGAATAATAACAAGTTCTGAAATTGAGGCAGTAATTAATAGCCTACCAACTAAAAAAAAAAACCCAGGACCAGACAGATTCACAGACCAATTCTACCAGAGGTACAAAGAGGAGCCTGTACTATTCCTTCTGAAACTATTCCAAACAACTGAAAAGGAGACACTTCTTTCTAACTCATTCTATGAGGCCAACATCATCCTGATACCAAAACGTGGCAGACACACAACAAAAAATATAAAACTTCAGGACCATATCCCTGATGAACATCAATGTGAAAGTCCTCAATAAAATATTGGCAAACTGAATCCAGCAGCACATTAAAAAGCTTATCCACCACGATCAAGTTGGCTTCATCCCTGGGATGCAAGGCTGGTTCAACATATGCAAATCAATAAACATACTATATAAACAAAACCAAGGAGAAAAACCACATGATTATCTCAATACATGAAGAAAAAGCCTTTGACAAAATTTAACACCCGTTTATGTTAAAAACACACAATGAACTAGATATTCATGGAACATATCTCAAATTCTTCTTAAACTTTTCTAAAGCTTAGAACTAGAGGGAATACTGTCAAACCCATTTTTGGGGCCAGCATCATTCCTATGCCAAAGCCAGACACAATAAGAAAACTACAGGCCACTAAGATGAACATAGATGGAAAAATCATCAAGAGAACACCATCAAAATGAACTCAAGAACACATCAAAGAAATTACACATGGCCGGGCGCGGTGGCTCAAGACTGTAATCCCAGTACTTTGGGAGGCCGAGGAGGGTGGATCACGAGGTCAAGAGACCGAGACCATCCTGGTCAACATGGTGAAACCCCGCCTCTACTAAAAGTACAAAAAATTAGCTGGGCATGGTGGCGCGTACCTGTAATCCCAGCTACTCAGGAGGCTGAGGCAGGAGAATTGCCTAAACCCAGGAGGCGGAGGTTGCGGTGAGCCGAGATCGCGCCATTGCACTCCAGCCTGGGTAACATGAGTGAAACTCCGTCTCAAAAAAAAAAAAAAGAAAGAAAGAAAGAAATTACACATAATGACCAAGTTGGATTTATTTCTGTCTCAACACTGTTTTTATCATGAAACAATGGTAAAGAGGCTAAAGAGACAACTTAAATACTGGGAGAATAGATTTACCAACCATAGTCTCTCTTAAACGGTTAATACCTAAAATATGTAATGAATTCAAACAACCCAATAGCAAAACAAAATAATAACCTGATTAAAAAATAGGTAAAGGACTTGAACAGGCTTATCTCCAGAGAAGACATAAAAATGGCCAAAAAGCATATGAAAAGGTGCTCAACATCACTCACTAATCATCAGGGAAATACAAATCAAAACCACAATGATTTATCCCCTAACATCTGTTGGGATGCTTGTTATGAAAAGGCAAGAGATAAGTGGTGCTGAGGATGTAGAGAAAAGGAAACACTTGTAAACTGTTGGTAGGAATGCAGATTTAGGTAGCATTTTGGAAAACTTCACAGAGCTTCCTAAAAGAAATTCAACGTAGAACTACCATACAGTAATTCATGTAGAATTACCATAGTAATCCCTCTTCTGGATATATCCCCAAAGGAAATGAAATCACCACCTTATAAGGATATCTGTGTGTCAATGATTACTGTAGAATTATTCGCAATAGCCAAGATAGGGAAAACTAAGTATCTACTGATAGAGGAATGGATAAAGAAACCATGGTACACATATACAACAGGATACTATTTGGCCTTAAAAAAGGAGATTCTGCCATTTTCAGCAACATGGGTAAGTTATGTTCAGTAAAATAAGCTAGATATAGGAAGACAAATACTACATGAACTCGCTTATATATGGAATTTTAAAAACAATAATAAACACAAAGCAGCAGAGCAGAAGGGTAGCTGGGAAAGGTACAGGAGAAATGGGAGATGTGAGCCAAAGGGTATGAATTTTTTATTTACACAGGATGAATACGTGTAAAGAATTAGCATACAGCATAAGCACCATAGCTGATGATATTGCATTGTATACACTGGAAATGTGTTAAAACAATAAATTTTAGATACTCTTACCACACACGCACACACATACATGTCAAAAGGAAAGGTGACTATGGAAGATAATGTAGTAATTTATTAAAGTATTTGACTGTTATAAGCACTTCACCATGCAGATGCATACGGAAACATGTTGTACACCTTACATTTATACAATAAAAATATTACTCATCATTATTACTGAAAAATAAAATTATTTTTCATAGAAACTGTTAAAATATAAATTATATTAAGATAACTGTATACATATTTTAAGCATTCCTCAGTATTAATTTTTAACATGATGAATATTAATAGAACCCACATAAATAACTACTAAAAATAAAAATATCTGCCCCATTCTACTGAGAGATCTTCAGGGAAAATATTCTATTAGTCCAGGTTAATTTTTTTTTTAACTCTATAGTTTTGGTGGACAGAATTGCAAGTCAAAAAAGAATTTGCCTATGAATCATTTGTTATTTCAGTGCCCTAGGCATCTCTAAAAATCAGCTACCAGACAACCTGAACCTGGAAAAGAACTGAAAATTTCCCCATTCAGATGTATTCTTTTTGTTCACTGGTAACTGTAGGAATTTTTAGAAATCAAGTTGCATTCTAGATGTTCACCACATTCAGTAGTATGGATGTCATGAAAATGTTCCCTTATTTATTTGTATGCCTAATCATTAAACTGCAGTATGAAGTAAATACTCAATAATTCACTTGAAATGCTCCTCTGTAGTTACTGCAAATTTGAGTGTGGTTATTTAAATGTCACCCAATGAGGCAGAGCAGGATGATTACCAACCACCTGCCCATCTAATATATTCCTCTTGAAAGGCACCAAAACTCATGTGCTTGCAGGTAAGAAGCATGATATAATTATTTCATTTTACTTTAATAAATCATGCTTCAGTTTACTACTGCAAGCCAGGGAGGATTGAAGAGAAAGTGGAATGGACTAAAAACTCTGAGAAATAAAGCACAGCTAAGGAGACAGCCAGAGAAGTTGTAGTTCTGAAATTGGCTGTTTTTTCTCAAACACTAAGAGACTTTCCTTCTCATAGAGATTAGCTAATTTTTCTCACAAAGGTGGAAGGGGACATTTAGAAATTCTACAACAAAGTCCCAGACACCAAATGGCTTAAAACACAGAAATCTTAGCTGGAACTACAGACATGCACCACCACACCTGGCTAATTTTTGTATTTTTAGTAGGGATGGGGTTTCACTATGTTGGCCAGGATGGTCTCAAACTCCTGACCTCCAGTGATCCACCTGCCTTGGGCTCCCAAAGTGGTAGGATTACAGGCATAAGCCACCATGCCCAGCTTTTTATTTATTTATTTATTTATTTTTGAGTTGGGATCTACCTATGTTTCCCAGATAGTCCTGCAAGCGGTCCTCCCACCTCAGCCTCCTGAGTTGCTGAGACTACAGGTGAGAGTCACCTTGCCTAGCATGATTTTGTCACCACAAACCTCTCTCATTTCCTTTCATAGGAAGTCACTGAGAACCAGAAAAGCTTGAGCCAAGAACCAGGGAAACTGATATTTGAACTCAGTTTTGTTTGGATGCCAAACTTCTCTGTGCCTCCTTCTGTGAAAATTGGAGGTGGCAAGATACAGTGGCTCACACATATAATCCCAGCACTTTGGAAGGCCTAGGTGGGTGGATCACCTGAGGCCATTGCACTCCAGCCTGGACAACAAGAATGAAACTCTGTCTCAAAAAAAAGAAAGAAAGAGAAAGAGAAAGAGAGAGAGAGAAGGAAAGAAAGAAAGAAAGGAAGGAAGGAAGGAAGGAAGGAAGGAAAGAAGAAAGAAAGAAAGGAAGAGAAATAAAGAAATAGAGGAAGGAAGAAAATCAGAGGCTTTGGTCCCTTAGTCGGCCATACTCTGGAGGAATTCTGTCCCTGCTTGAATGTGATCTCCTTGAGGCAAAATCTGGGTCTCCTTCCTCTTGCATGCCCGCCCTGGCCTGTCTGTCCCACACTAGCTGTTCAATGAAGGCTGGGCCATGTAGAGTATGGATTTGAGGCATCCCAAGACTTGGAGTTGTAGAAGATGTGAGTGAGAATCCTTGGAATGCTCTGCCCATCAGGAAATGTGTCTATCCCAGAGTTCAGCCGAGAAGCTGTGCTCCCTCCGAAGCCAGTGCTCAGAGCTCCCCTACCTAGGGTGCAACCTTAGATGGCCAAGTACATTGGCTCAATATTTGCCTTGAGTAGCTGGGTGCAGTGGCTCTAGCCACTGTTGGATCTGTAATCTTAGCACTTTGAGAGGCTGAGGTGGGAATTCAGAATATTTTAAATGTAATATCTGAAATGTTTTGAGTGTAACACAAAATTTGAAAGCAACTTTTAAAATTAGATGTAATTCCATTACATCAATATAAAAAATTCCCTCATGGCAAAACACAGTAAGCAAAGCCAAAGGACAAACAACAAACTTAAAAGCAACAGTATAAGTCATATCGCCAAGAGCTAATTTGCTTAATATAGCTAAAGCTCCTACATATCAATAATAAAACAGTAACCATATAACAGAAAAGTAGGTAGCATATAGGAACAGTAGCGCTCAGAAAAAGAATTACAAATGACTCATTCACATGAAAAGATGCCCAAACTCTGTAATAAGAGATATATAGTT